ACTGGCAGACCGGTACAGAGAGAGAGAGAGAGAGAGAGAGAGGGAGAGAAAGAGAGAGAAAGAGAAAGAGACAGAGAGAGAGAGAGAGAGAGAGAGAGAGAGAGAGAGAGAAGAGTCGACGGCGACGACGACAAGGATCATTTGAGGGAGCACGTACTGCTGTACGACGGGCAAAACGCGTTAGCTACCGACAACGCAAATACTAAAACGTTTCTCAAGACCCGAGAGCAAGGTATCACGTTCGTTCATCACCCTCCGCCCCCGCCTGCCGAATGCCAAACGTTTGCTTTTCCGAGACGCCCAATCAACCCATGTTATGTCCGGTTTGGCACACAGCAAAAGGCAAGGATGATGGCCAGCTCCATATCCATCCGTATGAATCCTAGCCTGGGCCAGTCAAAAAACAGCATATCGCTCCGTCCCGGAATAGTGAGGCCAATGGTCTAACGACTACGGCATGCGTTTACAATAGTACCCCATGCCCCCCCCCCCCCCCACCTGAAGAAAGCCCGCTTGTTCTCGAAGTCCAGGTGCTGCCTGCAGCGAGGGTTGTGCACCATGGCCGACAGGCTCTTGTCGAGCAGGGTCGGGTTCTGGTGGAGTAGCGCGTTCAGCAGAGACTTGTGCCGGGCCACGAAGCGGCCGAGCCTGTGTTCATTCCATCGCATTTCATTTTTCGTTTGGGGGAGTCGATTGTGTTATTTAGTTAGCATTAGCGTCGATGTTGTTGGTTCAGTATATGTGTTTCTAGCGTTAGTGGTTTCGGCTACGGTATGTTGTCTTGTGCTTCTCGTCAGCGGTAGTGGTGGTGGTGGCAATCGTTCTTTGGGGTAGATCAACAAACATACACATAAGGGTCACCTCTCAACGGGATGGGCGTCAAACCAAGGCCAGACAACAACGGCACATAAGTCGACACGCAGTGCCTTGCGTCCCCCCGCTCTGCTGCCTCAAAAGATACTGACTTGTCCTCACGAAACGTCCCGACATGCAGCACCAACACCTCTAATCGCATCACCGGTCGCGTTGCTGTGAACCCACCTCTGGCTCTCCGGCGTGCCCTGCTTTTCCTCATCTTCCTCCACCAGCGGCCGCATGTTACGGGGCACGTTCTGGCGGAAGCGCTGGGGCACACACAAAAAACGATTGCACATGGACACAAACAGATGGTGCGGAGATTAACCTCAAACGACTCTTTCCCTCCCTCCCTCTCTCCAACACTAGAGGTGCTTGGTAAATGTTTGCGTGCGCGTGGCCATGTCTTGGAAAAAAAAAAAAACGCCAGTCATATGGGAGCATGAGTCACGTGCCGTGTGTCCAACAGCACTACTTTGGAAGTCGAAACCGCGCATGTGTGTGTGTACCCACAGCAGCAGCAGCAGCAGCAGCCGCGCGACACCCCCACAATCCACCCCAAACCACGCAACCACCCTCGACTCCCTCACGCCCACCCAAACCTTAGCGGGCTACACGCACAGCACGCTAGAGAGACAGACCGAGAGACAGAGACAGAGAGCAGCCACACACTCACCGCCCCGGGCATGGCCGTCATCCGCTGAAGACTCTCCCGGCGCCGCATCCTTCCCCCGCCCCTGCCGCCGCCGCCGCCGCCGCCGCCGCCGCCAGCGGCAGCGGAGGACCCGCCCCCGTCGCTCGACCCGCCCTCGTCCCCGATCGCCGCCGCCGCGACCGCCGCCACCACCTCTTCCACGGCGCCTTCCGCCGGCCGCGGCGACGGCGCACTCGGGGGCGCCGCGGAATCGGAGCTTCCCGCTGCTGCTGGCGGAGGAGCAGCTGCTCCGGCTGCTGCCGCCGTCGCCTCCGGCGTCTTAGCTTGAGAGGGATCGCCTGTTGCT